AGAGAGAAAGAGAAAGTCTTCCATCTCCTGGCTCACTCCCCAGATGGTTGCAATGGCTTGAGCAGTGCCAGTCCAAATCCAGGAGGCAAGGGCTTCTTCCAGGTCTCCCATGTGGTTGCAGGAGCCCAAGCACTTGGGTCATTTTCTACTGCTTTCCCAGGCCAGAGCACAGAGCTGGATCAGAAGTAGAGCAGGGGCCTATGCTGTGGCACAGCGGGTTAACGCCCTGGCCTGAAGCACAGGCATCCCATATGGGCACCAGTTCTAGTCCCAGCTGCTCCTCTTCCCATCCAGCTCTCTGATATGGCCTGGGATAGCATTAGAAGATGGCCCAAGCCCTTGGGCGCCTGTACCCGTGTGGGAGACCTGAAAGAAGCTCCTGGTTTCGGATCAGTGCAGCTCCGGCCATTGCAGCCATCTGGGGAGTGAATCAGTCGATGGAAGACCTCTCTGTCTCTACCTCTCTAACTCTGTTTTCAAATAAATAAATCTTTTTAGGGCTGGCCCTGTGGCTCAGTGGGTTAACGCCCTGGCCTGAAGCGCCGGCATCCCATATGGGCGCTGGTTCAAGATCCGCTGCTCCACTTCCAATCCGGCTCTCTGCTGTGGCCTGGGATAGCAGTGGAAGATGTCCCAAGTCCTTGGACCCCTGCACCCGCGTGGGAGACCCAGAGGAGGCTCCTGGCTCCTGTCTACGGATCGGCACAGTTCCGGCTGTTGCAGCCAATTGGGGAGTGAACCATCGGATGGAAGACCTCTCTCTTTGCCTCTCCTCTCTCTCTGTAACTTTGACTTTCAAATAAATAATCTTTAAAAAAATAAATTTTTATAAAAAATATAGAGCAGCCAGTACTCGAACCAGCGCCCATATGGAATGCCAGCGCCCGAGGCGGCAGCTTTACTTGCTATGCCACAGCACCAGCCCCTCAAAATTCTTAAAATCATTAAAGAGCTAATAAGATTTCAAGGAAAACCCGAGTCAAAACCTAGAAGGGGAAGTGTTGTGGCACAGTGGTCAGGCACTGCCTGGGACGCCTGCATCCCGTATCAGAGTACCTAGCTCCAAACTGGCCACTCCACGCTTCCTGCTGATGTTCCTGGGGGGCAGCAGAGGACGGCCCCAGTACTCGGGGCCCCTGCCACCCTTGTGGGGACCCGTTTGGAGTTCCTTGCTCCTGCCTTCATCTTGGCCCAACTGCAGCTGCTGGTGGCATCCAGAGTAGTGAACCAGTGGATGAAAGATTTCTGTGTCTGTCCTTCCCAGCCTTTTAAATAAGTAAACAAACATTTTAAGAAAGCAGTGTGGGCTCACCAAGGTAGGAATTCTGATCAACCATCCACCAAGAGCAGGGACCCTGAAGATGGCCCTCAGGTGTGAAACGCCAGGAAACACTGCCGGCCTTTCAGTCTGTTTTGTTATTTAGTGGTTGAGAGAAACTGAGGCTTATGTGATGGCAATACCTGACTACTAATATCTTCAGTTACCTAGCAGAAAAATTAAAAATTCTCTCTGGAGGCAGGTAGCATTATATCCTAAAATTATGGCTTATATCATTCCTGTTCATCTTTTTATCAAATACATGTTCAGTACACAATGATAACCAGACACATACATGTACATATGCACATGACCTCCTACTGGAGACTGGTGACATACATGTACATATGCACATGACCTCCTACTGGAGACTGGCGACACATACATGTACATATGCACATGACCTCCTACTGGAGACTGGCGACACATACATGTACATATGCACATGACCTCCTACTGGAGACTGGCGACACATACATGTACATATGCACATGACCTCCTACTGGAGACTGGCGACACATACATGTACATGTGCACATGACCTCCTACTGGAGACTGGCGACACATACATGTACATGTGCACATGACCTCCTACTGGAGACTGGCGACACATACATGTACATGTGCACATGACCTCCTACTGGAGACTGGCGACACATACATGTACATGTGCACATGACCTCCTACTGGAGACTGGCGACACATACATGTACATGTGCACATGACCTCCTACTGGAGACTGGCGACACATACATGTACATGTGCACATGACCTCCTACTGGAGACTGGCGACACATACATGTACATGTGCACATGACCTCCTACTGGAGACTGGCGACACATACATGTACATGTGCACATGACCTCCTACTGGAGACTGGCGACACATACATGTACATGTGCACATGACCTCCTACTGGAGACTGGCGACACATACATGTACATGTGCACATGACCTCCTACTGGAGACTGGCGACACATACATGTACATATGCACATGACCTCCTACTTGAGACTGGCGACACATACATGTACATATGCACATGACCTCCTACTTGAGACTGGCGAAAACAGCAACAGATCCATAGTCACCATCTGATATTAGAACTGGCAACCTCAGACCAGACATCTGCTTTCTAGGGTCAAAGAATAGATACGCCTGGAAATTTCATAAGGGAATTATATAAAGTGTGACTTAGTACATTTGAAAAAGAAACCAATAATTCTAGAACTGAAAAATAAAAAATTCAATTGGTGGATTTGACATCAGATTAGATACAGAGAAACAGTAAAATTTGCCTGAAAAAAATGTTAAGAAGGCAGCTTCAAAAGACAAGGTAGAGGGGCTGGCGCTGTGGCATAGTGGGTGTAAAGCCGCTGTCTGCAGTGGGCATCCCAGATGGGTGCCGGTTGAAGTCCTGGCTGGTCCACTTCGGATCCAGCTGTCTGCTAATGGCCTGGGAAATAAGTAGAAGATGGCCCAGGGCCTTGGGCCCCTGCCCCTGCGGAGGAGACCCGGAAGAAGCTCCTGGCTCCTGATCGGCACAGCTCTGGCCGTTGCGGCCATTTGGGGAGTGGACCAGTGAATGGAAGACCTCTCTCCTCTTTCAAATAAATCAATCTTAAAAAAAAAAAAAAAAAAAAAAAAAAGCCAAGATAGAAAGTAGAGTAGCAGGAGTGAAGAGCTGCATGGCTCCCGGCCTGCTCTCTGCCTGGTATGGACTTCTCAGCTTCTGCTCCTGGACTCCTCTCTCCCTTAAATAAAGCCCTCACTTTCCTGTGTATTTCTCTCACTAAATAAATGCTAAACGTTAAAAAGGGTGAAGAGATACAGAAGACACACTGAAAACTATCTGATATATATGTGGAAGTCCAAAAATTGAAGGAAGTGACAAGATCCGAGGTGGTAACAGCAAGACACTTCCTGAATTGATGAAATACTTTACTTCATGCATTTGAAATGAATGGTCATTATTCAGTAGAAATAATACTAAATCCACACCCAGATCCATCAAAGTAAAATTGCAGAAAAGGCAAACGACACAGCTGTTGTAATTTGAAAAGCAGGGTACAGAGAGGCAGAGGCAGAGTGCAACTTTAAAGCGACCGGCCAGCTTCGGAGCAGTGCTCGCAGAGCTCAGGAGCGAGGGCAGCGTCTACCAAGTAACGGGCTACGCGTGGACGCACACGGTGGAGCAGGACGCGCGTAAGATGCATCCCGCGTGGGCTGTCACAGGCACTCAGCCCGGCCGTCGCAGGACAGCAGGGAGGGAGCAGCTGGATTCGGCCTCGGGGCCGGTGCCCACTCCCGTCGGAGCCACGGCAGAGGCTCCCAGTTCCACAGGAGGGGCACAGTAAGGAACGACCCCGACCTAATATGGACACTCGGCCTGGGGGAAGGGAGAGGCGCGGGGTGGTCTGGGTCCCTCGCGTGCCCCTGTGAGTTCCGGGGGAGGCGCTGGGAGCAAACGTGCGACTTGGAACGACCAGACACCCGCGAAGACAGGCCGCGGGCGCGAGGTCTGCGGGCAGCGGGGCCGGGCCCGTCCGCCTGGTGCAAGCGTCGGTGCAGCCACGCCTAGGGCCTTCCCACGGTGCACCTTCGGCCTTGCTTCCTGGGCCGGCTGCCACCGCGCTGAGACGCTCGGCGGTGCCCGCACATTTCGCACGTGAGCGACAGGGAAGGCGGCGCGGGCGCCGCGTGGCGCGGCTTCGGCACGAGGCGCCCAGAGGGCTCTGCGGCCCGGGCAGACCGGCTCCGCAGCGCTCGGGCCAGAGCTCGGACCCTGCCCGTCCAGGAGCTCCTCCCGCCGGAGCGGAGGGAGCGCCGCCTCCCCCAGCGCTCGCAGGCGGCCCGCCGCGCCTCCCCTGCTCGCGGGCCTGTCCCGGAAGGCGGCGCCCCGCCGGGCTCCGCCCACTTCCCGCTCGGGCCCACCCTCGGGCGCAGCGCGCCAATCGCGGCCCGCCTCGCCCGCCCCGCGAGCTTTGGCGCCTCGGGCCCGATCCGGCTCTGGCGTTGCCTCAGAACGCCGCGTCTCGCGAGATCCGGGAGCCGGGGGCGGGCGCCGCGCGCGTGCACGCGCCCCCTTAGTCGGTTAGGGGCGGACCCTCTGCCTAGGGCGGGCGGCGGGTCTAGCCAGCACAATTTGTGCCTCCGGAATGGCTGGAGCCTCCCGCGGAAAACTACTGTGCGTCTGATGCGGAGTGCGCTCTCGTTTACGTCTACATTTGCTGGTCGAGTTTCTTCGCAGTTTGGAGGGTGGATTGAA